TCCTTGCAAAAGTCACATACTCCCTTGGCACCTCAGTTTCTTATTGGCAAAATGTAGATAAAAATAAGAGTTCTTCATGGGTTTTTGTGAGGATTAAATGAGTTAGTATACAAAAGAACTTGGACAGTGCCTGAACACAGTAAGTATTCAAAAAAGGTTAGTCTTATTACTACCCTCCAATAGTAAAGCCAAGAAAGGAGAAGATGGGAATGGATATGATTGCCATATGATCATAGGAAGAAGGTTAGCTGTGAAAGGATTTTCTTCAGAGACTGAGACAAAAATCAAAGAAAAGACAATTTTACAGAGGAGAGGTAAATCTTAACTGTGTGAAGCATGAAGCCATTTAAGTATCTCATTGTATAATATTGCACAAATTGCTTTACCTTATCCTTCTATTGTTGTGGGTTTTCCAGCTGCTTGGTGCCCAGGTTTGCAGTTTGAGGTCCCATAGGGATATATTTCATCAGAATCCATGGCCCTGGGGCCCCTGGGTAGCTTAGTCAGTTAAGTGTCCAACTTCAGCTCAGGTCATGATCTTACAGTTCATGGGTTTGAGCCCCATATCAAGCTCTGTGCTGACAGCTCAGAGGCTGGAGCCTGCTTCAGATTCTGTGTCTCCCTCTCTCTCTGCTCCTCCCCTGCTCATGCTCTGTCTTTTTCTCTCTCAAAAATAAATAAACATTAAAAAAAAAAAAAGAATCCATGGCCTTGACTGACTACAATTGCAATGCTTGTATTTAGAAAAAGGAAACAAATCTAGAAAAACACCAAGTGGAATGGTCAGGTAAGAGAGGGTATAAAAGCACATTACAGGGGTGCTTGGGTGGCTCAGTGTGTTAAACATCTGACTCTTGGTTTTGGCTCAAGTCATGATCTCGCTGTTTGTGAGTTCGAGCCCTGAGTTGGGCTCTGTGCTGACAGTGTGGAGCCTGCTTGGGATTCTCTCTCTCTCCTCCTCTTCCTCTGCCCCTCTCCAACTCATGCTTTTCTCTCTTGCTCTCAAAATAAATACACTAAAAAAAAAATGCACATTACAAATAAAGTGTCATTCCAAAGAACTCAAAGCAGGATCTTGAAGAGATGTCTGCACACATGTTCAATGCTTCATTATTTACAATACCCAAGAGATAGAAGCAACCAAAATACCCACTGACAGATACATAAAGGAAATGTGGTGTATACACACAATGGAATGTTACACAGCTTTCCAAAAGAAGCAAAATTATGTCACATACTACAACATGGAATAAACTTGAGAACATTATGCTATGTGAAATAAACCAGTCACAAAAGGACAGTCAATACTGTATGATTGTACTCACGTGAAGAGGCTAAAATAGTCAAAATCATACAAACCCAAAGTAGAAAGGTGGTTCATAATATGAGGAAACATGCATGATACCCTGTTACAAGGCCTCTTCAGGCCTTCAGCTGACTGGATAATGCGCACCCACACTGGGGAAGGCAATCTACTTTACTCAGACTATAGATTCAAAGGTTAATTTCATCCTCTCACAGACACACCCAGAATGTTTGGCAAATGTCTAGGCACCCAGTGAAGTTCACACACAAAATCAGCCATCACAGTGGGTATACCTATTTAATGCACTAATAAATCAAAGCTTAAAGAGAGGGAGAGACTTTGTCAAAGACAACTGCTGAAAAAGCTGAGCTAAATTCCGACTCAGAAGGGATTTGGCTCCTAGACTTGGACCATTGGGTCATTCTACTTCCTTTTCAAAACAAGTTCATGGAAGTCACACAAAGTTACATTTGTAGTGGACACCAACAATATCAAAGCAATTTTATCATCGCTTAATACATCTTTAGAGGGGCAGTGAATAGAGACAGGGAGGAACAGGGGGCACTGAGATTCAGGCTACATAATTCCATTTCTTTTTCACCCTATTCCATCATGACCTGTGCTAATACATAGGCTTACATTTAGAGAAAGATTATAATGGTTTTAAACATGGAACACTAAGATAAAGTAGTTATTACTCACTCTGTTTTTAAGGGCATGTGTTTTTAATTTGCTGATTTATTTATCTTATGTCATCTCTACGCCCAATGTGGAGCTCAAACTCACAACCCTGAGATCAAGAGTTGCACACTCTTCTGATTGAGCCAGCCGGGTGCCCCTAAAAGCATGATTATATCAGACCTAGAGCATTTTCTTTTACAAAGTGAAATAGAACAGTCGAACTACTGATCATCTAGTCAAGCTTCTTCCCATAAATTCTGACAACACTACAGTACTATAAGGAATCATATCAAGCATAGAAGCATCTGCTTTGTGTGACCCATTTATTCAAATAAGAAAAGAAAATAATGGAACATAGGGAGAAACAATGGAAAATAAGAGTATACTACCTTGGGATTTTAATCCGTAAGGCCCTTTTATGACTCCTTAGAGTCTTTTTTAAATTTTTTAAAATTTTTTAAATGCTTATTTTTGAGAGGGAGAGAGAGGTCACATGCACAAGCAGGAGAGGGGCAGAGACAGGTGGAGACAGAGAATCCCAAACAGACTCCATGCTGTCAGCACAGATGCCCATGTGGGGTTTGAACTCATGAACTGTGAGGTCATCACCTGAGCTGAAACCAATAGTCAGACACTTAACCAACTGAGCCACCCAGGTGCCCCTCCCTAGAGTCTTTTAATAAAACAAAATGTTAGTTGTCAGAATGGAAGTCTTTGAAGCAGAAACACCATGTAACTAGAGTTCCAAGAAACATAAATATGAGCCTTGCCCTCATCAGATAAAAAATTTTCAGTGTTAGGAATTCTCTTTCAGAGATAGAATTTGAAGCCTCTGTAATTGTACTTTGTTTATATCTTTTCCTTTTTTTAAAATGTTTACTTATTCATTTTGAGAGAGAGAAAAACAGAGAGAGTGCACATGAGCAGGGAAGGGGCAGAGAGAGAGAGAGAGAGGGAGAGAGAGAATCCCAGGACAGAACCTGACACAGGCCTAAATCCCACAAACCGTGAGATCATGACCTGAACTAAAATCAAGAGTTGGTTGCTTAACCTATTCAGCCACCCAGGTGCCCCTTAAACAAGAATATTTTAAAACTGATTTGTTGAGCTGTAGGGTTTTCTGGAACATTGATATTCTTTTATGTGAAAATGTTCCATTAAGGTCGTGTGTGTGTGTGTGTGTGTGTGTGTGTGTGTGTACAAAGGGATGGAAAGTAGACAACATGATTGCCAAACATTGCCAATGTGGAGTCACTATTTTCCACATTTTGATACTTCTATTAGGAAATTACAGCTGCATACTAACTTGTACCACTTGGTCCAACAAAATAGGGACATTTCCTCCAAGATGATAGGAAACACTATTAGATACCAAATACCTTTCCCCTGGAGCTCAAGTTCTCAGATTCTAGCCGGTCTCACATGACTTCTGCCGCATGACCCCACAGAGTTTCAGTCTTTAATAACTGACATATTTAAGTTACTAAAATGGCTGAGAAAAAAGTTTAGCTTTAAATGCGAATTATTTCTCTTTTCTGTCATTAAACATATGTTTTATAGCCAAAAATTAATGTATTTAACTAAGAATAAAAATGTACTTCTGACCTTAGGATTTTGTGCCGGCTGTCATTTTACACACACACACACACACACACACACACACACACACACACACACACACAGCATTTCACTAACCTAATCAACAGTGGAGACACAAGAAATTAGTGTATTCAGACACTCATTTGTTCTGTAGCCTATGGGGAATGGGCCAGAAACTAGAAGGTCATTTGAAGTTGAGTTTAAAATCTTCATTTGAGAAAAGCATGCTGTGAGTCTAATATGTAATTTAGCAAACAAAATACACATGAACAAAACATCATTTCTCTTATGAATAAGTTGGTGCTATAGTTTTCTTGTGTAAAGAATGTTCTTACAGGAAATATAAAACCTAAGCAGTAATCAGAATATTATTCAACTTTCTGGGGCAATTTAAACCTCAAATCAGATGACCACAGAATAGAAGCCACTGCAGTCTTGTTTCAAAAGAAAAAAACAAAACAAAAGAAACAACAATACCCCTCCTATATCCACGAAATAAGAACCCCAAAACTGCACTTTCAGTCAAATGAGGTATTTTGGGCCACATAACAAAAAGATACGTTCTTTCTGCTTTTATTTTTATGCACTGCTTTTCAGTTCTACAGAAATAAAAGTTATGCCAAACTTTTAACTCTTTAACTGCATAATTCTATATGAATTACATAATATTTTGTTTCTAGGATAGAGACCCAACTTTTGAGGACATATTGTATACATTTCAAAAGACAACTACAAAAATTGTTTTTTCACATTTCCACAAATACTATGCAATTACTAAACCTGTAATATCTAGTAAAGAGAGAAGCTGTGAGAAATGACAATGCATTTAGAAAAAATTACAACCCCCCCAACATCTTTTGTAATTACCATTTTATTACAATTAGAGTGCATGACATTTATATATCAATATTTTTCATTTTCACAACCTTATTAGGGAAACTAGTGCAGTAAATGACAATGGTGGTTTTAAAAAAGCCAATGGGAGCCCTTCTAAGCTTGTGACAGAAACATAATGGGACCAAAGCCAGGTTCTTGTGCAATTTGTAAAGCCCTTGGTTTGCAGTTATTAGTGCGGCGACTTAGCTCATCGAGGACTCCGTGTCGCATTTGAATAACTAATGTTTCAAATTATTAGTCATTCTGATTTATATTCATCCCTGCAGTTTCCATTAATTTAATTACCCCTGCCATCAACGTAGTTGCTTTTGTTACTGCAGTTTGAACTCTGGCTTCCTTTTCCCAGGGAATTAATTTGTTAGGTTTTTCCAGATGATTGCACTCTTGCAACTTCCACACAGATTTTATAACCTTGATTTCTTTACTTTTCTTTTTGCCACATTTTTAGAACTATTTAACACATATTTAGAACATATTAAGAAGCTTCCTGCAGCAAACTTCAAAGGACATAGCTTACCCCAAGTTTAGCACAGTCTGACGGTTCCTCTGGAAATACAGGTGGGTAGAGGCTTTGGGGCTTACTGGAGGGACTTGGCCTCCCCCTCCTCAGCCTGGGATAAGCTTGAACCCTTTTTTGACCATCCCGACTTTGCCTCTTACCTAACCTAAATTCTTAATCTCCCACCTGTTCTCATTTCTGTCCTTTCTCTTGTCAAGGCCCAGAGCAGCTGTTCTCAATGCTTTGTGTTGAAACATTCCACATGATACTCAGTAAAAGCCTGAGTATCTCTTACTCTTGCTCGTGATTGGGTTTTGTGGCTCTCCTCTGGACCATCTCCAAATTCTCCTGCTCAGTTCTAGCAAGCTGGCCTAGAGTTCTCTCACAAGGGTCTGACTAGCACAAGAATTAGCTCGTGGTTAAAACCCTTCGGCTCAGGACTGCAACTGCCTCATACTGAAGTCATTTCCCTTTCATTCTGAGCTTGCAGTCATCAAGGATTAATGCTACCTTCAGTGTTTGCCTAAATGGTAATGCTTTCTGGAACGGAAAAGAGCTGTGGTAATTTTGTGGGGATAACAATGATAACATGAGTCACCTCAGGGTTTGGCGTAAATAATTCAGAGTTGACCTGGTCTCTCTGAAACACGTGATGACCTTGAGACACGAAAGAGTGAAAATGAGTGCCTAGAGCTCAGGAGAGTGATGGGGGTAGAGAGAACTATTTAGGAGACATCTGGGAGACAGGTGTGGCCAAACCTTTTGCTGAACACACTGTGATTACAAGTGAGCAGCTGGGAAGGAAGCCAGATCACAAGGAGTTCAAGACCATCCATTCTAAAAGTTAGGCAAAGGCAAGAAGGAACAAGACAGGAGTGTGTTCGTGCAGAGGCAGGTACAGGTAAAGCTAACAATGTGAGAACAGAGTGTTTTGAGTCTTCTCTTAGGTAGAGGGAAATTGGCTTTAGAGAAATAGAGAATTTCTTGGGGGAGGGGATTATTTTAAAAATAAGAACAGTTTGGGGCACCTGGGTGGCTCAGTAAGTTGGGCGTCTGACTCTTGATTTCAGCTCAGGTCATGATCTCACAGTTGTGGGTTCAAGCCCCACGTCAGGCTCTGAGCTGACTCTGAAGCCTGCTTGGGATTCTCTCTCTCTCCCTTTCTCTCTGCTCCTCACAAGTGTGCACCTTCTCTCTCTGTCCCAAAATAATAAACTTAAAAAAAAAAAGTAAGAACAGTTCTCTCCATATATTTATTAGGGCAGCACGATTCAATAGCATTTTCTATGGTAATGGAAATATTCGATGTCTGTAATGTCCAATATGGTGCACACTAGCCACATATGGCTCTTCACATTTAAATTTCAATTAATTCAAATGAAATAAAGTTAAAATTCAGCTTCCCAGTTATACTAGCCACATTTCAATTGCTCAATAGCCACAATAATCAATTGAAATTTAAGTGTGAAGAGCCACATGTCGCAAGTAACTATTGCATTGGAAAGCTCAGAGTTAGGGTTATTACTACCTAAAGTAAAAGATTAATCTGAAAATACCAGTGTCTTCAAACAATACAAGTTATTTTACCTGTTTCACATGCAAACCAATCAGTACTGGGGTGTGGTGGTGGGGAACTTTATCACCACCTAGTCATTTGGAGATGCTTGTTTCTTCCATCTTGTGTGGCTGCCATCTTCAACATCAAGTCCTCAAGGTTGCTGTGGAGAGGAAAGAGAGGGAGTACAGAGGATCTCTTGGGAGGTTCTATGGGCCACATTTAGAAATGGTTACATCACTTTACCTTCTCCAATGGCTAGAAATAAATCACATGGCCCTACGTAACTGCAGGCTAGGCTGGAAAATATTTAACCGTGTGCCCAAAAAGAAAAGGAAACAGGTTTATAGACATACGACATTACCCTGATACATTTATCAACAAGAAAAAAAATTAAATTTGCTGAGAGTTCTGGGATCAGTCTCCAATAACTTCTCCATGAGGAACTGGAAATGAATCTTAACCGGTGTGCTGGAGACGTGCATCTGGTACAGTTCTAGATGTAAGGAAGAGACTAAAAGATCAAAATGGGCCCATGGGATTAAACATAAAACAAGGATCAGGAGGAAGAAATGGAATTAAAATACAGAGTAGGAAGTGTGGGTTTTGCTGAGAGAGAATCACATCTTCCTCCAAAAGGAAAACAAAGGGAAAGTGTGAGAATATAGAGATTTTGAGGTGAAAAGGGGAGAAATGACAGAACCTTGGGTTGAATCACTTTGTGTTCTCTGGGTACAACAGGGCTGGGGAGTCATTTGTGTAGGTGCTTAAATGAAGGGAAGAGACTTGGCACAGGTACTGTGAAGAATGGCTGAGGCATTTGCTGAAGAATCTGGAAGGAATCAGTTTAACCTGGAGACCATGATCTCTCATAGGATGTCAGGTAAACTGGAATGCATATCTTCTTTTTCTCTTGATAGATATCCCTATGGTAAGCCATAGCATCCTGTTAATCTTGTTTTTTTCATAGCAATGGACTTGGAAAATATAACTTAAACTTCTTCCTTCTGCCATAATTAATATACCAGTATAAGCGTAAAACATCAAAGCTAGTGAATAGATGAGCATGCAAAATTTTCAAGAAAGATGAATAGAAAATACTGAAGCTAGTGATTCATATTTTGACATCGGATGAATTGTCAACACCGCATCATTTGATATTTGAGAATCACATTACTTCTTGTTACTAAAACTAGGAAGAAAATACAAATATTCTTTCTCGGAGATATTGAAAAATCTTGGAATCACAACCAATAGTTTAATATTATCTTCTGTATTTACCTCTTACTCCCTATTCTACCTCTTCAACTTCCTCTGTACCCATGGTCTTAAAGAGAGCTCTTAGAAAACATTCATTATTGGGGTGCCTGGGTGGCATCAGACTTCAGCTCAGGTCATTATCTCACAGCTTGTGAGTTCGAGCCCCACGTTGGGCTCTGTGCTGACAGCTCAGAGCCTGGAGCCTGCTTCGGATTCTGTGTCTCCCTCTCTCTCTGTTTCTTCCCCACTTGTCTCTGTCTCTCAAAAATAAACATGAGAAAAAAGAAAACACTCATTATTTAATATGAGGTGTGGTGGGAGGGCAATATCTCACTTCATTTGGTTGACTTTTATTTATTTATTTATTTTTAATTTTTTTTTTTCAACATTTATTTATTTTTGGGACAGAGGGAGACAGAGCATGAACGGGGGAGGGGCAGAGAGAGAGGGAGACACAGAATCGGAAACAGGCTCCAGGCTCTGAGCCATCAGCCCAGAGCCCGACGCGGGGCTCGAACTCACGGACCGCGAGATCGTGACCTGGCTGAAGTCGGACGCCTAACCGACTGCGCCACCCAGGCGCCCCGACTTTTATTTTTTAATCTGCCTAGATGTTCTTCCAGATCTCCTTTCTTATTAGTCCATGTGCATTGGGGCTGACTGACTTCCAGGCTCCAAAGGTGACCGTTAAGATCCAAGCCTGGCCAATCAGGCCATTATACTCCTCTGCCCACATTAATGGGTGTGAACCAAGCCAGACCAATCTAAACTTCCCTTGAGATTTTAACTGGAAACAATGTGAGTTCTGAGGAATGTAAGTCTGGGTACTTGTAGGCATCTTTGTCAACACACTGGGACAGCTTGACCTGAGAATGAGGTCAACATGAGGCAAAAAAGATCCAATAGTTACAGAGTGACGAGACAGAGATACAGAGACAGAGGCAGACAGGGACAGCAAAACAGAGACAGTCTGGAATTTATTAAGTCCCTGGATCCAGCCATACCTGAAACCAATGCCCCTGAGGATTTCAGTTATATGAATCGAGTTCCCTTTGTAACATAACCTAGTAAGAATTAGGCTTTTGCTACTAATAGTGGAGAAAGTCCTGACAGTTAAGCTTTAAAAGTAAAGGTTCAGGCTGAAGAGGAGAGAAATTTGAACAATGGAATGCAACAAGTAGTCCCTGCATTTTTATCTCCCTCAAATCTTTGACCTTTTTGATAATGGTACTTTTGACATGTCCCAGGTGACAAGAGTAGAAAAGAAAACAAAAGAAATGAAACCGCTTTCTCAATTGCTGAGAAAGCTCAGAGAAGACCTGGAGAAAGATAATGTAAAATCTGGGCTTTGTCAGGCAATTCCCTTGATAGTGTCTCAACCCAATACTACTGCCTATTGGTCACTGGATTAAGTCAGACAAGTTGGTCAGAGTTGTGTTAAGACAGAAGGGGATTCACATGGGTTGAGCGTCAGTTTGCACATTAGTGGCTATGTGACATTAAAAAATTGTTATATATCTTATGGTCTTCTGTAACCAGAAATGGATAAAATATCTTCTGTGGCAGAGACAGCAATTATCCCCTAATATCCATTATCTCCTTCACCCATAGTAACAAAATATTTAGCTAAGCACATGCCTTCTCATTTCCCAGTCTCCTTTGCAGCTAGGTGTGGCCGGCCATATGACTAGGTTATAGTTATAATCATGGGATGCAAGGAGCACTGTCCACTGTAGATTTGGGGAATCTTCCTTAAGAGACAACTGATCATATGGTTAGTCATTTAAAAGTCTGCAAATGCCATTAATAGGGAATTGGTTAAATTATGGTACATCCTCCCATAACCCTCCCAGACAGGATTAGCAACATTTATTAGACACCCTGATAGCACCCTGTTTTTCTCCCCAGTTAGACATGTAATGATATTTTACTTTTTAGAATTATTTAATACCTGCCTCCTCTATTTGACTGTAAACTAATGAAGGCAGGGACCATGAGGACAGGCATTCTATGCCCAGTGCTTAGCACCATGCTGAGTATACAGTAGATGTTTAATATCAAATGTCTAACAAACACACACAGAATATTATGCAGCCACTTAAAAGTATGATAATGTAGAATTGTTTATTGACATGTCAAGTTACTTGTGATATAATGTTAAATTAAAAAATCAAATTATAAAATAGTAGATAAAGCATGATCTCATTTTTATAAAAAGAATAGCTATGTATACAGATACCTTGATCAAAATGTTAATAGTGGTATGATCATGGATTATTTTATTTTCGACTCTTTGTACTACCTAAATTTAAAAAATAATAACATTCATTTGATCCATTATTTTCTAATCTACAGGTCATTTTCATTTTGAAAAAAATCAAGCAGATTTAAAACAACTTTTTTTCTCACAAAATTTCACTT